TTGGGTTTTTTTCTCTGTATCTATGAAGCGCCTTGAGGCGACTTATGTTGTGATTTGGCGCTATATAAATAAAATTGAATTGAATTGAATTAAAAGAAAATTCTTCTGAATGTAGTCCAATTTCTTTCCAAAATCTCAAATCCTAATCCTCTTAAACTGGCCTCCCTCTCTGTTCTGCCCCCCTACATGACTTTTTGTGATTAGCTGTAATGTTGGGGAACGCCTGATGATGATGGCTGGCTTTTGGCTCGTCTTGGTTGTGATATAGAGGTTGGTTAACTGGTTTTGGCATTGAAATGGTACATTAGTGTTTGTTTGTGGTTGTTTAGTTTGTTACCCAGTAGGGATGTTGGTCTTTTCAGGGCAAGGACTTGTTTGTCTCATTTGTGAATGTAGCCAGTTGTTGCTGAGTTATAGTTAGATTATGGTAGGTCTTTGTTGGTTACCTGGCAAAAACATCAATGTTGGAAATAGCATAGAAGTATTTCAGCAGGTTGTCTCTCTGGACGTAGGTTCCTCCCAGTGCCGGGCGGAGGAGCCTCAGTCGGAGGTTGGTGAAAGTGAAGAAATCTCTGAGTCCCTTTGTGGTCTCCATCCGAGTGTACAGAGCGTCCATGTTGATCAGCTTTGGACCAGCAAACACCCCGAACCGAGCTCTCACCTCAAACACCACAGATTTCTCTTCCTGTTGGTGAGGAGAAGTTTCAGATAACCACAAATAAATATAAGCTGTACAAATGTGTTCTGCATACTGTGCGGGACCAGCATCAGGGTCCAGTTACAGACCTTAGCGCCGACCCAGCGGGAGTACTGCTCGGTGCAGATGACCCGGGTAATGTTACTTGGTGCTAAATCAGAGACTCGTTTGGGCGACATGCCGAACGCCTCGAGACAGTCGTCGGCATAATACTGATACGGCTGCCAAGTGACACCTGAAACACAAACGCTGATTATTTGACAGTTCACGGTGTTTGTGACTTCCTGTTTCCTGGTTTCAGAATCATCTCCAGACAAAATCCATCTGTAAAAGCTTCATAAATGACTTTGTTTCACCCACATCCATGGATCAGAGGAGACAAGGGTTTCTGAATGATACCCCTCAGACTCTGCACTCAGCTAATTACTCTTCAGTGAAGTTCATCAGCTGAATGTTTCAGAAAATCTCTCAAACATTAGTCAGAACAGGTGTTTAACAGGTTTCCAGTCACCTTTGTCGATGGATTTCTCCAGCACCATGCTGGTTGGACGGCCATATTCGAAGGTAACAACAATGTCATCGACCACCTCCAGACTCTTGTTCCAGGTAAGGGTGATGTTGGCCAATAGGGGCTCAGGAAACCTGGACCATGTGATTGTCTGCCAGTAAGTGATGAGCCCACCCCTCTCCCTGTCTCCCATGAGCTGAGGAGGGTGAGACAGGTCTGGGCTAGAGGCGTCGCACTCATCGCTGCACAGGTACGGGTTCTCCTGAGGAAAGACCACATTGAGCACCAATATTTGATAAAACACGAACACGGGCTGTAAGTTTATAAACAATCAAGAATGTCATTGTCACATTAACATCTGTAGCTCCCGTAACTCCTGAAAAATTGAAAGAATTCCAATGCCTCTTCAAAGCAGCGACTCTGCACATTTCAGTGACAGTCATTATAATCGCAGGCATGGTGTTGCAGGAGCCCCTCGAAGACAAAGGTTGATTGAGACAGATGTTTTATCAGGAATTTGTTCTTTTTACTTTTACCTCATACATTATACATGCTTCCCTTAGGCAGCATCATCAGAAGACATAGCATACATTTACACTGCTATGCAGATGACACCCAGCTCTATCTGTCCATGAAGCCAGATAACACACACCAATGAGTTAAACTGCAGGAATGTCTTAAAGACATAAAGACCTGGATGGCCGCTAACTTTCTGCTTCTTAATTCAGATAAAACTGAGGTTATTGTACTCGGCCCTGAAAAGCTTAGAAATATGGTATCTAACCAGATTCTTGCTCTGGATGGCATTACCTTGGCCTCCAGTAACACTGTGAAAGTAATGGAGAGTAATGAGAGCAACTTTAGTGATAGTTTGCAGGATTTGTATGTTATGTAAATTGCCCAAGAAATAGTGTTAAGACTGGATTTATGTTACCCGTAGACGGTGTGTGGCCAAAAATAGAATTTGGAGTGGGTTTAGAGCTTGATTTGTGGGCATGATTTGTTTCGTTACATTCTAGTTATTATTTTCACCTGCAAGTAAATTTAAAGGGATAAATAAGGAATTAGTTCATTTCTCAGGAGAGAAATGAAGAGGGGGACTTTTGAGGTTTAAATTCATATGATTGTTGGGTTTTTCTCTGTATCTATGAAGCACCTTGAGGCGACCTTTGTTGTGATTTAGCGCTATATAAATAAAATTGAATTGAATTGAATTGAATTAAAAAATGTGTTGTTCGAGGTAGTCAGAGTGGACTGAGATGAGGAAAGACCATAACTTCAGCGCAGAAGTGCTAATATTAATGGTGAACATGGACCAGCACCAGTGTGGCTTTTCATGGCCAGTGTTTGTAGTTTTATTGTTGCGGGTGCTTCCTGATTTGGTCTGACTTGCTGTTTGTAGGCGGTTAATACCGATGACGTTTGCAAACACAAACTGTGCGGTATTCTCACAGCTTCTGTTTGCCTGTGTTTAATTAATGTTGACCTTTAACCTAGGCCTCCGTTATACTTACACATACTTTGTGTAGTCATTAAAGGTCAGTATGCTGTACCTTTACAGAGACTATAACATGTGCAGAGAGGGATTAACACTGATGCTAATCTGATTAGGGTTTGAGGTTTATCCTTTAACTTCAGCTGCCGTGTGCAGGAGATGTGGCTTTAACTAACCAGCACTAACTAATCACACGAAGAGGGCCGAAAACCTGAAATACATGCTGAAGGAGACGTGTTAGACTCATTCCTGTCAGATGATCATGAAAGTGTTTAAATTTTCATGCAGTTTCCACCAAAATATCCAAACTCAGAGTCCAACATCAGATAACTAGGAAACATTCGGAAGGACCCTGGTCTTGTTAGAAGAGACGGCATCTATCCTGCTTTGGATGGAGCAGCTCCCGCCAAATTTATTAAACCCCCCAAAACGTGACTCGAGTTGGGACCAGGAAGCAGAGGTGCAGTCTTACAGGCCTCTCTGGAGTTTTAAGGAATTGGGTAAACTCATGAAATCAGTTCGATCTGTCGCTAACTTTCTTGGTCACCTGACTAGATGTAGTTTCGACATCAGCACCAGTGACAACGACAGAAGAAAACTCACTACTACGTCTCAGTAATATCACCTAATTTGTTCCAAATAAAAAGGTTTTTAAAAATGAATCCTTGTGTATTTAGTTGTCAGCGTGACCACAATGTAATATAAGCCAATTAGACTCCAAAGTTAACTGACAGTTATTCCAAATGTAATGAATAACTTTAACGAAGTTACAAACAATACTGAGTTCAACTAAGAATGTCAAAAACATCAAATCTACATTCAAATTGACCAGTTTATGGAAAACCCCGACAAAGCATGCCAGAGCTCCTCGGGCCGCTCACTCCAGAGCTGAGTGTGAAAAACAGCCAACACTCGATCACCTTTAGCATAAGGTGGGAACAGGAAACAGGTTTGTGTTGAGGATCTGAGGGTTCGCAGCGGTTGGTACAGGAACAGCAGGTCGATACTCTGAAATGGGATTTAACTTTACTGAGTCAAATCTGAAGAGCAGCAAGCTGGAGTAACATGTTCAGGGTTCCTGGAAAGTTTGGATAGCAAAGCTTATTAATTCCCGTTAAAAGACTGTTACAGTAGTCTGACTCAAAGCATGTGTGGTGGTCTGAATGTAAACTCATTATTGATCCTGTGTGATAACAAATGTCATTGAATGTTGGGGGGGTGTAGATACCTGCACAGATAGCAGGTATCTACACCCACTCTTCACTTTAAAAACTGTAAACAGCTCCGTCGACACTTTGAACCGTGAGCATGTCAACTAAACGCTAACATGAGTTGTTCCCACACTTCATAGCTGATTTCAGATCAGTTAGTCACGCAAGTCTCAGGAGGAAGCTGGCGAAAAGCCGTGCAGGTACAGCTGAGTCTGTTTTTCAGTGGAGCCAGTGGCTCCAGAGTCCATCTGCTGCACAGTCTGAACGTCCTTGTTCATGTTCTGATCACGTTACTGCGCCCGTGTAACCCACTGAACTTTAGTGTGTTTCACGTATGTTGTGAGACGCTTCCTGTCCGACTCTCGGGGTCTTTTCACTGACACAAATGAAATCAATTAGCATTTAGTCTTTGCTTCATTACAGCTGTTACATTTATCAATAATTCAGGCAGGACTTCAGCTTCCCAAAGGAACAATTAGAGAGCCAGCGGGATCACCGTGTCCTCTGTGTGTTTGCAGAGGGGTCCAAACTGTGGCTCGGGGCGCCTGCAGGAGGTCATACAATGACTGACAGGTGATCGTCTACTCTTCCTTGTTTTGGTGAAAGATAACGAGCTGCTCATGTTTAAAATGAGTGAAACACCAACAATTTAAATGTAGTCGGAGAACTTTAAAATAATTTCATCAGCAAACAGTTCAGATGCTGCAGCACCAATCACAAGCTCTCTGTGAAGTGAAACCCTCACCTGTGGACAGAGTTCATCTGACAAACTGAAGTTTGTGGAGTGAAAATGATGAAGAGAGCAGAGCTACAATGTCTTTCTGTGACACAGGCAACAGGAAGTTGGCTCAGAGGTCACCTGTGTGTTCAGGTTTGTGATCAGGTGTGTGTGTTCAGGTGCGTCAGACTGACCAGTGTACAGAATCTCTCAGGTGGGTTTCCGCAGGTGATCCCAGGGGGGTCAACTCTGATCTGCATCACCTCCTTCATGTTGGTTGGGGGCGGCTGACAGGCGTAAAACTCAGGCCCCGCCTTTGAGCCACGCAGAGATCGACAGACATCAAACTGACACCGTCCACGCGGCAGCAGGAGGGCGAGGAGGGCGAGGGCGTGTGAGAGGGACATGATGAACTGTCAGGCAAACAGGAAGTTCAGCTGAAGGTCATGCCATAGTTACAGCTTTGCCAGGCCTACTTCAAACAGGTGGCTACCATGGCAACCATCTGCTTTCTGTGTGGTTGTCATGGTGTGCTAAAGGTTTTGCTCGCCGCCCACAGGCCTGCAGTGGAAGAACAGAAACAGAGCATCAAACGTTGAGTATGCCGTGAACTTGAACCAAACATGTTCACAGACAGGAAACAATCTGCTCAAAATGACCTCACTTCCTGTTTGCAGCTGCCACCTTTGGGCACAGGCTTGTGTTGTCTCTGGAAGCTCGCCTGTGCATTCAAACCAATTATTCATGAATATTTTCTACATTGTTGCCTTCAGCCGAGAGCTTTCACGTGTTTTTGTTCAGCCTGGAAACGTAAGGAGCAACGCACCTTACAGGAGGCTACTCAGTCTGCACGAACCGGTCACTAAGCTGAGTTGGAACCAGGCGCCCCTTCATTATGGACAAACTGTGAAGAAGTCAGAGACCGGGCAGGCCATTTCTCCCAGTCACATCTCACTGTTACTGCTCATGTGACCGTTGAAGACTCCCAGCAGGACAACCGAACACTACAGGACCTGAGTACTCTGAGCTGTGATTGGACAAGTCCGCACAAACCCCAGTCGAGACCTGTTCTCCCACCCAAACACGCAGGGAAGCAAGGCTCACATCCACCAGAGAAACGCCGTGAACCTTGGGGATAGAAGAAGACCCGCCGCCCCTCGCCCACCACCTGTCACTGCGGACAGCTGCAAACTGGGGCAGTATCCAGCCCCGCCTTCCTGGAGTCCAGTTCCACAGCTGGAGCCGAGCATCGTGCCATCTCTCAGCCTCAGGCAGGGAAGTACCACAACCCGACACCCCCCCCCCCCCCCCAAAGTGACAATCGCCAAGTTTTTCCTACCAGTATAGACACCCGAACCAGCGGCGACCCTGAAGCACTGACCAGCTACTGAAAGCATCCAGATGTTTGTGACCTGCCGGTTTACCTGAAGTCTTTTAATCAGCCGTCATCATGCAGGAGCAGGTGTGTAGATGTTGCTCAGCGTCCTGCAGCCTCTGGAGAAATAAAGCGAGACGGTCCGAGCTCGGCTCAGAGTCTGTGTTTGTTTGTGAGATGGCAGAGATGATTAAACTGAGACGCTCGGTCCTCCGACTCTTTCTCTTTATTAAAATCTTCCTGCTGATGAAACCGGAGCGGGATCAGTACCATGCCTGACACACACTCAGCGTCCACTTCATTAGGAACACCTCCTCACTAATGTCTCGTTTACTTTCAGAAAATCATAATTTTATCACCTGAAGCTTTCAGATCAGTTTTCACCTGAGACACCTTCGTACACACCTGCTCAGGTTATTTCATCCGTGTGTCTGTCTGTCTGCAAGCACACCTGTCTGTGTGACAGCCACTCACCTGTCTGTCTTCAAGTTGATTCTTGATGAGCTGATTAAACGGGCGATCAAACATTCCTCCTCCTCAGCTCCTCTCTTCTTACTGTATTTCCTTTTGTTCCCTTCCTCTTCTCGTTAATCCTCCTCTTCCTCAGCGAGCCTCCTTCTGTTTCTCCTCTAATCCCTCTCCTCATCCCCTTTTCTTTTCTCTCTCAAAGATCTGTCGCTCTGATGGCTCAGCCCTCCCTCTCGCTCTCTCTCTCTGGATCAGGTGGTAAAACGGTTCATCTGACGGTTGATAGCGAGGGGTGAATAACCCCGCTAGTCACATGACTGGCATCTGATCCTGACAGGAAACAAACTTTTTTCCTCTGAGATTTAATATTGATATTCTGCACCTGCTCAGGTAAACAAAGGTGTCAGTCACAAATAAACGAAATGGCCAGGAATGGGTTGATGGGCGGAGACCACGTCCCCCGGTCTGACAGGAGGTGGAGTCTTTGAGCTATGAGCTGATGATGTGGTGGTTCTAGTTCAGGTCCACCTGCAGCTCTGTGAGAGCCTTTTAGCCAAACGTTACATCGCTGCTCAGTAAAAAGATCCCTGATGATTAAATTATAAAGTATATGCAACAAATTTCTGAAATCATTGGAGCATTACAGCAAAAACGACCACCAGGG